TATGTCAACAAGAAGTCAGAATCTTGGTCGAAATGAAAAAATCCACTTCTTCTACCATAAAGAAAACACAGAACAAAAAACTATAAAAAAACTCGAGGGATCAGCATGTTGAGGAAATCTCGGATATTGATAGTGACGAATGCTATTCTGAAAAATAAGAATTTGAAAATGTAAGTTTTTCGGAGGAAGAATCAAATGTAGAAAAAGAAATGTCACTATGCATTGAAAAGTTTTATGCAGCTCTTTATGACTATACAGTTTTTGAAATCGGAGCTAGATATGTACATATGGCCTATTGTGGAAGTTATAGAAAAGAATAAAATACATACTCTATGGGCCAATCGACTTAGTCCGCAATGGACCTTTCCGCCTCAAAAGACATAATAAAATAAATATTGAGAAAAAATACGAATATTTGACGAAACAGGCAGTACTCTGACATCAATGCAAGCATTAAATGCTGTATGCTTTCATAAAATAAAAAAGACTAGAGTTGAAAACATAATAAAAATCATCATACTAGAAAAATGGTTTTCCATAATTCCGAATTGCCTTTTTTTCCTCAATTATTTTTGCTTTACTAGTAAAAACCGTCATGCTCAAAGAATTAGGTACATCTTCTACAATTCGAAGGGATTACCTTTATCATGATTGAAATGAATTATTTAGTTGAAAACATAATGAAAAAATTTTCATACTGTAAAAATGGAGTTGAAAAGATTCTTATATTTTATCTAGTATAACCATGCAAGTTATTTACTAATCAGTTCATTTCTCATTTTACCTGTAGAAAAGATAAATAGGTATTATTATTTTGAGCATCTTCTCTTTCTTTGCAGAATGTTGTGTGTCGGTGTGAAAGGGGATATTTTTCTGCGAAGTTAGAGGGAAAAAACATTCCATTTTCTCAAAATTCAGAAGTCTTACCTACAATGAGCAATCTCAATTTCTTGCGTGTCAATGTTTGAAACTGCGTAAACCCTTACGGCCAAGAATAAAAGACGAACCAAATCCACGACGCAAGTGTACAATTTTCTATTTTCTTTCTGTTGACGATGATAAGGTATGAGTCTGCCCGGAAACTGTCACCGATACCCTCAAAGGTAGCTCTCGAAGAATACAGATGTTGGTAGAGAAACTGAAGAATTGGATGGATATCAAAGATTCACGAGGACTTATGCTGCAACTAGAATGCCTATATATTTTCCAAATTCTCTGATCTTACAAAACTTTTTATCTTTCATGGTCAGAGACATTTTGTAAATATTATCACATTTTTCTTGAGGGAGCGATAATTCTAGTCTTCCTGAATTATGAATGAAGCCAAGGAATTTACAAGTTTGACAAGGATCTAGTATGCATTTTTGATGATTTATATTGAAGCCTAGATCCTGTAATAACTGTATTACAATGTTCAGATGATGAAGACAATTATTATATCTGGGTGGGATGATTAATACATCATCTGAGTATATAATGCATGTAATACCTATCTCCCTCACCTTGCTTGCAATATTTTTGTGAAAGTATAAGGTGGTGTTGAGAGCCCGAAGGGTGAACAATTAAAATGATAAAAGGATTCCTGATATTCAAAGCATACAATTTTTTTACTGGGATGTTTTATCGACACACTGTAGTAAGCGTCTTTCAAATCAATTTTTGCAAGATAGCAATCTTTATGTAATAATTTATTGTCTTCTTCTGTATTGGGGTTCTTGATTGTTCTGCTTCTTGAAGAGTTTCCTCTTGTCGTCCTCTTTTTTCTTCATTTTGGTGAAGGGGCGCCTGTAGTTTGAATACTGAGATTTTGATGTGGAGGTTCTTATATCCAGAGGGCCTGTTGGCCTCGGAATATATCGTTTCTTCAGGTCTGCACCCAGTATTTCAAGTTCTTGATTTCCTTTGATTCTAACTTCATAACTTTTTTACTGTTGGGTTTAATATGGGCAATATTAGGTATCTTCTATGTTGGGACAGAGAGTACATGGAGTCAATCAACAATTTTGAACCATTGACTAAATCGATTAAGATCTTGTTTGATTCTTCTGTTGGTCGACAAAATATTTCATTCAGGGGTTTTGCTATTGCGCTTATACCAGTGGCAATTTCAGTCTACAATATAGTTAAATAAGTATCCATTTTTTGACTCTTTTCGTCCAACCCAGCTTGTAATTCCAGGTTTGATTTTGGTGGACGTGTAGCTCAATGCAATTTTTGATTGAGGGGTATTTGTGCATGACTGTATTCCTACCTTCCTTGTCCAAACCACTTTCAAGGTATGATCTCCATCTCCCTGCAATCTCTTCGTGGATGTCTATCCCTCCCTTTGTTGGAGCAGCAGGATTTTCGCCTGAAATTGTCTTGATTTGCTCCTGATCTTCTTGTCTGTCATTGATATTATCCTCTGCAGTAATTTCTAATGGGTCGATTTCTGGTTCACCCTGACCATGTATCGTCATCACTTCTGGCACTTCCATGTCCGAGGATAAATCGTTGGTACTAGAAGTACTGCTTGTACCTGGAGAGATATATACTATAAGTATTTTGTGGGCCTCATCAATTTTATTTTTGGTAAATCACGTGATTCACCCTGTAAGTATGGAGGAGTTATGTTCAAAATATCTGTATGATAATTTTATTTTTCGCACACCTAGCACAAGCCTCACATGAGATTGCATTTTGGTATTTGCGATAAAAGACAGCGCCTCGCGTGAGGGCTTTATTCTTATGCACGAATAAACGTAAAGCCATAAAGAGTATGGTCTTATTGGCACATCTTGTTTTCTTCTGCACTAGAATGTAATTTAATGATCATCTCATTGTTAGTACTTACTTGAAGAAGTTGAGCTGACGTGTTGTCTCCTTGATAAAATTTTCACTCGTTTCTTCAGCTTTCAATATTTTTCTTACCTCTCTTATGCCGCCCCATGCTGCTTGTTGAAATATTTCGGTTTTATATCCAATTGAAACCGGTTCGATGGCGGCTTTTTATATACAACAATCCGCACACGATCGTACGAAAAAGAACAATGACGCTGCCAGCTAGGTGGTACGCAGGGTTGCCAACTATAAGTTGATAGAAATCGCACGACATAAGGATATAATCGCCAAAATCGCCGTTCTCCATCAGGCGAGCGCAGCGAGCAAAGAGCCCGCCTCAGGCGAAAATTTATGAAAATCAGCGATTTTTATTTGAATTGGCGATTTTTCTGAATGATGTTTATTTAACCATAGAAATAAAATGTATTTTACTCAAGTTTGGTATGGCATTCTGCTTTCAAGGCTACATGTCAACCGTCAATTTCATTCAAGCGGGAAATTCAAAATATAACGGTATCAATAAGATACTGAAGTAAATAAAAAACGAAAACTTAGATCTCAAAATTGCATTTCAGGAAATGCATCTAATAATTCATCCTTTTCCTCCATTTCATCTCTGTTGTTCTCGAAATTGTACATGGTCGTGTTGAATTTTGGTTGGTTCAAAATTATCACAACAGGAACTATTGATTACAAATTCAGTCTTAATCCTCAACAACCCTTCTAGCAGAGGAACTTTCATTTTATTTCGAATCTTAGTCTTCAAAATATCGAATACAAAAAATAACATGATGATTCTCAAAACATTTTAATGTTCACAACATTGAATCAACAACAAAACAGAAACTGAATATTCTTTCATCAGGTACAGAAAATAAGTATATCAAAAAATGAAAATATACTCTAGATCAAAGTTCACTTTTTATTCATTGTTCCTTGTCAATCCTCTCTTTGCATTTAACCAGCCACTGTTTCGCAGAAGCTTCAACCTCAGATTTTTGGTGAGAATTCATTACAGCATCTGCAAAAGATAACTCCTATATATACATTTCTCTAGATTTGATGAGTTTTTCTCTCCTCATTTCTATTGATAAAAATGTTTGTAATATATCTGTAGCATGACTGATTGACGAACAGAAATGCACCAATATTCATAGTCAATTTTGATGAAAAAAAAAAAAACAATAAAATTACTCCTGAAATACTATGACTAAACTGCCATTTTTTTTTCTCCAAATGACATTAAAAGTGTAATGAAAACGCCGCATGGAATGTAATTTGGAGAAAAAATAATAATTAGCCACTCACCATCACACATTTCATAATTATAATGGAACGCCGGCGACATTGTCAAAATCATATTTACTTCCGGTACTTCTGATCTCGCTGAAAGAAAATGCTCGGGTTCAGCTGTTACCACTGATCAATAATTAAATTTTCCTCGACAAAACATATCCTTTATTCCTTTTGTACTTTCGCCTTCTACAACCCACTTCTTTTATCGCTCTAATTTCGGAAACATCTTGTATATAACTAGTTCACTTTCGCGCAAAAAGTTGGGGAAAATATCAAATGCTCCGCCAACTGAATCTATTCAACGAATCCAAACTTTTGTTTGGAATGTGCAAAGGGAATTATAGGGCATTGAATTATATTGAATTTCGAATATTGTTTAGGTCCATAAAAATAATTCTCACCTATCAAAACATCAGCTGTGAGTAGAACTGAAGAATTGTTCTTTTTTTTATATCCTATCCAACTATAGGTCATGCCAAGTTGATTGCTCAAAATTTTTTCCAGTATTCTTTTTACCATGATTTTGGGGTTGCTTCCTCCAATTCTTGAAAATTTCATTAGCTAAAAGACGAAAATCATTTCAACAGAGAGAAAGAGAGAGAGAGAGACAATGATACTAACCACCTGCTTATAATAATCTCTGTCTGCTAAAAATTTTCAAAGGTTTGAAAATCTTCCTCTGTTGAAGAATATTGATGGAGATACAGGTCCAGTTTTTTTTGTGGAAATCTGAGCTATGTCTTCAGCCAATTGATCCATTTTGTAATGTAGTATGGTCAGGTTTTGAAGGACTTGACTTCTGAATAACTGTTCATCTAATAAAAAAATAATATTGGATGAAATTTCTGCATAATACATATAGGAACATCAAATTGAACAGATACCTCTTGTGTTGCTCACGTACACTTCATCAGGTTCTGTAGTAGGTTTCATTATATTGGCTGGTTCAATATCATCGTTCCTTGGGTTGGTTTCTACACAGCCTGTTTCATCAAATTCTAAAAATAAATTTATTGGTATCAAACAGTTGTTGCTGTTTTCATGCAATGATAAATATATTATTCCATATGAATATTAATATAGCTGTATAGTTGAAAACGGGTCTATACTTCTGCCTTTTTCTATAGAAGTGCAAAACTGAATGGAGGCTAACTTGACCAGCCGAATAATATTTTCAGCCTGGAGCTAGGTGACACCCCCTAACTTTAGTTCATGGAATCAAATAACAAAATTCACATAATATAATGTTTTTGAGAAATTTTACTTTTAGATATTGTTGCAGGATGAATTCCATTTCCAGTTTGAACAGAAGTGATACCAACTTTTGTTATTCAAATATGGCAACCTCTATAATTAGTTGTAATATTCGTATTCTAGATCAATTTCCATATCCATTCATTTGAAGAACATTCAGAAATGACCCATTAACAAATCCAGGATTTTATTTTCACTATTGCTACTTTTTTAGATATCCATTCAATTTATAATAATTATGATCTTCATTTTTTGACATGGATAGATAGGATATCTGGTGTCTGGGATATAATGAATTTATAGAAAGAATGTGCAGGGTGTCATTTGAAAAGAAAAAATTGAACTCTTCAAATACCTATTGAATAATTTGGATAAACAAAAATCGATCGACTTTCTTCGCCAAAAGATAATCTTGCTGTGAGGGACTGTCATCACATCATAAAAAAGTTCTCCTTCATTTCCATTTAGGGTTGCCACCTTTTGAAATCTGTAGACCCGGAGATTGTGGTACATTTGAGGAGCCTCGTGAAAACACAAAGAAATGGCGCCGCAGGCGGATTTTTTTTTTGGTTCAAGGTCAACTGCCTTTAAATTGAAAATATATTTTTTGCCAGGTAAGGACCGAGAGCACAATATGTCTGTTTATAAATGGATTCACGAAAAATAAATGGCTTGATGCCATAGACCTTCCGAAATTTTCTACCTGTACAAGTGAGTACACGGAAGATTATGAAATGAAATATTTTTATCAAACATAATCAAAAAACAATTCTCAAAAAATAAGAAAACACAAAATATGGAAACAAAATAACAATTCATAAATAAACAAAAAAAAACTAATTCATAGAAAAACAAAATAAAAACAGTCCTATATATACAAAAATAAAATAAATCAATCTTTGAATTTGAATTTATATTTCGTGTTTGAATTGCAAGATATTAGTAAATTTTTTTGTTCGGTTTTTGCCAAATATTCCTTGAACTGCGAACAAGACATATTGAAATTCAATTTCGTGCATAATTCTGCCTTGACTAAATCTACTTTCATTCGATTTCTTTCATGTGTCCATAAATTCCCCATTAGAGAGAACACCCGTTCTACATAGGCGTTACTCACTGGAATTGAGAGAATCTTACCAACAATTTTCAAAAGTTGGGGTAGTTCTGCGTTTTGAAATATTTTAACCCAAATTTCGTCTATTTTTTTCACATTTAGTTCGTTCTCATCTATTTCATTTAAAGCAGTTTTCAAAATTACTATTTCATCGTAAAGCCTATCTTCATCTATATTCGCGACTTTTGCATAATTTTTAGCGTCTAAAATTTGTTGATAAGTTATGTTTTTATTTTTTTTTATGTTCAGATGTACAAAGTGTTGGTAAGGAGTATCAATCGTTTTCTTATATACTAGGCTTGCCTCACTAATAAACTTCTGCTTTTCACTTTTACCTAGGTATTTTAAAGCGGTATTCACCTTCGCACCAAAAAAATTGTCGGCCAGTCTATGAGAAATATTGTTCTTCAATTCGTTCATGATATCATGCAATTCAATAATTGTTAAACTTTTAGATTCTAATTTAAGAATATGAGTGTTCAATACATTCATGTAATGGTGAACGAAATATAAATAACATTCTGGGAAAGTAAGTTGAGCGTTTATGTCTTCTTCCAATCCGTGCTCTCGATTTTTTACAAATCTCCAAACAGTTTTATTACAGTCATCTTCTCCTAATTCCAAGAAATACTTTTTCACTGCTGGCCAACATTTTAGGAGGCGATCGACGGCGACAAATAAAGAAAGCCACCTGGTGGAAACATGCCTTAAGATTTTTTCGTATTCCATATCCATGAATTCAAAACACTCTCTCAATAACTCACTTTTCTTGGAGCTGTTGGAAAATTCGGCGTAAACTTTCAGAACCAAGTTTTCCACATCGTATGATAATGCCTTACAAGCATTTCTGCCGGCATTGTGGATAACGTGGCAGTTACAATTTGCTATTAAAATATTTGGATTGGAGAGAACTAATTTTTGGTAAATTGAATTGTGAACACCATAATTTACCGATGCGTTATCAGCACTATAGGAGCTAACGTCGCACATTTTGAGACGACACATTTCTAATGTAATCTTTATTGAATTCGTAATTGAAGCTGAACTTTCATCATTATTCTCTATGAAGTCTAAAAGTTTATCTTGAATACCATTTTTTACACTGAAGTATCTCACTGCCACAGGAAACAACTTTTGATTACCCTTATTTGAGGCATCACACGAAACCGAAAATGGAATGGTCTGATTAGTGTTCGCGCCCATTTCTTCCAGGGAAGATTCAATACTTTTTGGACCTGAACAGTTCATAACAATGGCTTCTGCTTTAGTTCGGCCACAATGGACTTTTTTAGCGAAAGCAGAATCTTTGTATAATGTCGTGTTGAGTTTAATTCCACAATCTGTACTCAAATAGCTGTGATGGTGATTGACGCCATGATAAATTTGTGAAACTTCAATTATCGTGACATATAAATCATCGGTGCTATTTTTTTTCGGCATAAAGGCAGTCAACAACTGATTTTTAGCCCGATTATTCGACGATGCACAATGTTTCTGACTATTATTGTGGGTTTTTAGAGCCTTTTCTCCATCATGTTTTATCGTAAATTCAACGTTACAAAATACACATTTTGCCGTCAAATTATTGATTTTTATTAACCAATCCTTATATGAAGGATCTTGTTTCCAGGAATCTTTAAATGAAGAAAAATATTTAACCTTTTTTCGCGACGGCCCTGCGTCAGTGGTAGATTCGTTAGAATCGCTCATCTTGTGAATGCACTAGATATACACTGAAATGTCAACAATTCGGTAAAACCAAAACAATTCTCGATAAGTTCTCAACTCGACTATGGATGATGACCAATCCACACGTGGGTATGTTGTATTCTCGACACACAAATCAGGCGACTGTAACCAGAAACCAGACCTCGACTCTAGACCTCTCCCCTCCACGACATGAACCAAACTAAGTAATATAATTGCCACTGTTGCCAACTTTCCTCCGATGGAGTACTTTTGAAAATATTTATGATTTTTTCGTGTCCGGACTTGCCCGGAGAATAAAGTATCCAACCCGGAGCCCGTAGGAGCCCTACTGAAACCCGGAGACTCCGGGTCAAACCCTGAGAGGTGGCAACCCTATTTCCATTACTCAATTCAATGACATGTCTGCCATATCAATTTATTGAAAATTGTTATCCCTGTCATGTTGGATTTATGCAGCAGTTTTAAGTCGTAACTTTTAAGACATAACTCCTAAGGAGTTCAGTCATTGATTATCAAAATAATCGTTCATGCACTTCGTCGTAGTCGTAGGAAAAGTTGGCCAACATTCATCTCTTATGACTCAAAACAAATGAAAAAAAAAGCAATTATGTGTTGCCTAAAACATGTATAAAATTGATAAAATGAGCAAAATTAGCCAATGAAAGGATGATTTTAACATGACATGACAGTCCTTATGACTGCTGCATAAATCATCATTTTTCCCTTATGACTCAAGACTTACGACTTACAAATTAATACTTGAAACTGCTGCATAGATCCACCATCACATCTTGAATATTTTTTATGAAGTTATCAATTGACCAACAGAAACATCAATTGACTACCAATTCATAATGCCATAATGTATATTTATCAATACATAGTAATAGAGTTTATTATTCCTCACCTGGATTTGAATCAATTTCGAAATCATCTGAAGTGGGTGCTGCCAAACAATCCAAATTATCAAATCACATACAAAAATAATACATGCATCATATCTAACCTGACTTTTTTGCCTCCCTTGTTTTTAGGACAGGCATCAAAATTTGAGATGTTTCTGGTGATGGGGTATAATCATTCTCTTTGTCTGAATCAGAATCTATCATATATCTCTCATTCGTTCGAATTTTTTTATGTCCTTGTCCCAATAAGTCTGAATCAGAATTCAAATCAGAAGTATTTTTGGCTTCAAGAGCCTTCATGCGGGCAACAGATAAATCTCCTGGAATATTCATTATCAACTCAAATACTACTGACAGCATATTCAGGATTCTGTTGGTACTAACCATATTCTTCTCCAATAACCCGGGCTTCATGTACATCCCATTCAGGAGATCGTAGCATGCATTTGGAAATAGCTGATTTGAGATTCAGCCCACCAAAGGGAGGCCAATAGCATTGGTTGGATCCCCTCATCCACACAACAGGTACTGCCTCCACTGTATCTTCTTTAGGAAAATTCACCACTCCCCATGCCGACATGTTGAGAGTGAGTAGTAAGAAACAAAACGGAATATATTGATCCATAATGAATAACAAATATGGTATAGTATTGTATATGGTATAGATTATGACAGACAAGCAGATTCATTTCCTTCTTGGATATGAAAATTCTGGTTTTAACACTGTAGAATGTGGAATGTCCTGAAGAAAATCATCTGATAAGGAAATTCAATTTTTGTTGATGTTTCAGGTAAGTATTTACATGAGGATTTTTCAATCATAGTATATAAATCATTCAGATTGAAAACTTACCACAATTCATACAAAATCAGAAAGAAGATGGTTACTTTTTCAGTCACCAGCAGAGCTGGACAAATACTCTGGAAAAGTATTCAGTTATTAAGTAGTGAATAGGTACTTGATTGAATTGAAAACTTTCAAGTATCAAATGTTTCCAGAGGTCAAGAAGATAACAAATATGAAGTATTTTATATGCTCCACAGTAAGTGAGTAAGTAGGTATTGAATTGTTTCGACACCAAAAGATCCTAAAGTTGGAAAATCTCGATTTTGAACACTCTATATCTCTGTAATCATTCCTGCTAAACCCCAAGTGTGATACATCGATGTAATCAGTTCTTCAGGAAGAATCTAAAAAATGCAATGAAATACAGGGCGTTCCATTTGAAAATCGAAAGTTGATGCCCGTTACGCTCCAAGGTTCCACCTTTGGAACATGGAAATTGCAGAAAAATGTGTCCCCCGCCGAATTGAAATCGACCTGTTCGAGCGATTTTCATTTCTTTCAACGACTCCGGAGATAAGGGGGTGACAAGTTTTAGCTGGGACACACTGTATGTATACATGGGTGTTTCAAAACAGGGCAATATATGAAATGGGTAATAAAAGATGGAAAAACGGAAGAATAAATGGCGCGTGTTCGGAAAAAGTGGCATAAGTCCAAAAATGCAGAAAATGGAGTAATGGTCGTTACTTATCTAAATACTCGCATCCATCCATTGGGAAGAGAGATATAAGTCTAGTTATACAAAAAATATAACATTTTGCAATGTGAAACCTGGCATAGAAATAGAAATAGAAATAGAAACTTTATTGATCCATAAATTACCACAATAATAAGGGTGTTGGACAAGTCAGTAGTTTGTCATGTTTCTAGTGGAAAGTGATACATGTGCACATATGCTTCAGTTTGCATACTCTTGGCATCGCCCCAGAGCCACTGCTTCAGGCAGACACCAGTCGTCCGGTCATGAAGCGCAAGGGGACAGCAGAGGGAAAGGACACTAGTCCGACCGAAATGGGAGCCAACCCTAGCCCCTCTGTGACGTGTCCGCAAGCCTCAGAAACCCCGAGAGAAAATCCAGCCCTCAACAAAGAAAAGCAAGGAGTTGGCCGAAATCTTGTTTGAATTGGGCCCGAACGTAACGTGGCCCCCGGAGATACGTGCAAGACTACGCGCCCTACGTGCTCCGGGAGCAACCTCAGACCGCCGCATTCGAGTCCGTCTGCATACTGCGGATGGTCGTGTTGTCCGAGTACAACTACCTAGTTAGTTGGTTTCCGCAGTACTCTACGAAGAACTGAGAGTTTTTTTTTTCACATTTAGAAATGTCCGTTTGAGTTTGGGTATTATGTAAAGGAATGAAATATAAGTTACATGTTCAAGGGTTCACGTGTTTCTGGATCACAGATACCTACGCCATAATTTTCTTTTCTTTGTTGCGAATTGGAACTGATAATCCGTGTTTTGTATCAATAGATATGGAGAGTCCGGTTCTAGAGGTGAACGCTACCCAGGAGATGGAAGACACTACCCGGGAATTGGGAGAAGCGATTGGGAAACTCGAGTCACCAAAGGGAAATGATTCCGAAACGGCACCTCCAGTCGAAAGGAACCCAGAACCTGCTCTTTCAGCAGCCGAGGAGGAACGATCCTTGAGCCCGTCGGATTTTCTTGGCCCGCAGCATCTGGACGTACCTGCAGAAGAGGATTCTAGGAGAGACGAGTACTGGACGAAAGAGGCTCACCTGAAACGAACCTTGGAAGCCAGGAAGGCGGTTAACCCAGGACCAAGAACGCCAAGCCCACCGATAGCAGGAAGTAGCGGAGAATGCCGTTACTTAAAAATGTCCCCGGATACCTGCTGGCGCTGTGGACAACATGGATACCGACGCACCGAGTGTCGGAAGCCCGGCATGGTCTTCTGTTCCCGATGCGGACTAATTGAAGTGATGTCCAGGCATTGTCGATGCCAAGACGTTGAGGAAAGTGGAGGGTGTTGAGGTCGTCCACTGCCGGTCTCCTCAGCACAGCCTTGAGTCACGAGACAGAAGGAGGACATGCCCAACCTGTGGGTGTCCCTATGCACGTATCCACCCCCGACACTACGAATGTCCAGGAGAAGAGGGAAACGGACTAGGAGGACCACTCAAGCCAGAAGAGGTATATTCGATTTGTTTATTTTTTCAGAGATAGGGAAAACATACTATGTTCTGTAGAAGCTGATTTGAATATATGGGGATTAATAAAAAAAATATATATTTTAGTATATATATATTTAAGTAAAGAGGGGATGTAAAGAAGTTACTAGATTTTAGGTTTATATCTCCGTATGATGGTTTCTGAATTATTTTGGGGTGAATTGCAAGCTAGCGACGCCGTTCTTTTTCGTATGCGGTTGAGACCGCAACAGCTACCGAACCTGGCCTGACCCGAAAGCTATCGTCGAGCTGAAAAACCAGTTGTATCAATAGGTGAGCCGACTCATAACGATACTAATCATCCTGTTTTTCTGTTTCAGCCGGACTCAGTAACTAGAGATTGAAAGTGACCGAACTGCTGTCCCGACAAAGAGGGGCTCTCTCAATTTTCAGGACAACAGTTCAGGGAATACTGACTCTGTGAAGGCGGGGTTTCTCGGTTCACATTGTCACTTTTCCTGAGCGAAAGACAAGTTCCTGTCCTGGAAAAGAGGGGTTTTCTCAATTTTCTGGACAATAACTCGGGGAATACACCTGTTTTTCCTGAGAATAGTCAAATTGGAAATCGTAAACTTCCGGGCAACGGTCAGTAGCGCGCAGCGGTCAGAAATGTTTTGAGGTAGTTGAAATTCTATGGGTATACAATCGGTAAACTGGTCAGTTGCGCGAACGGTTCCTTCATAGAAATATGCTCGTCTATACCCTAACATATGCCATAGGAAAACACCTGAAAAGGAAACTAAATGAAATAGCGATTATAAGATATATTTTTTTATTTTTTCGCAAAATTGAAACAAACACTTTTAATGAAATCAAATCTTTCAGTATGGTTGATTACATATAAATTAATTAAATTTGTTACATATTCTTTGCGTTTTTTATACCTAATATTATTCACTATTTATTTTAATATATGTATTAACTTGTTCATCTTTTAAAACATTGATACATTCAAAAATATCTGGATGCGCTACATAAAAACTGGAGTTGAAATGACTGTGGAATGATTCACAAGCATTTGTTGTTCGTTCTTTATCACTATTACAAGAAACCCGCATTTTTGGAGAAAAAACGGAATCATCAGATATATAATCATCAACTAAATAATTAGCATATTTAATTAGTTCAGCATTCTGAGGTATATCTGGGTGAAGGTCTTCTACAAAACAATCCCCTACTTCGTTAGAAATCAGAAATAATAATCCAAAAGTGTAATGCAACCAAAGACCTATTGCTGAATTAGAATCCCTGTACTCAAATACCAACCGAACATTTTGAATTTTACGATACCAGGACTGGGTCAAATGAAACCTACACAATATTATATTTATGTCTGGCTAAATTTTCTCAACTTCAACGTGTATCGATATTTCAAAATCACTTACGATTTCTTTGTGCTCCAATGTTAAATTTATACTGGCACAATACCTTTTAAGAAATGCCTCAAAGTAAGTATTAGATTGTTTGTTTGGCAGTAAAATAAATACTATAATATCCGTTCTCTACTGTATGTATCGTAGATTATTGAGTTGAGAATTTGGGGAAATAACTGAAAGAACTGAATGTTCCATCTACATGAGTTTTAGGACGTGAACACAGATACTGTAAATTTGTTTGACATTATTATTACATTATTCAAGTTCGTGTTATTCACCAATGAAAATTCTTTGTCCTTATTGGTTTTAATAACAATTGATTCTAGAGCTTCTTGGAGGTCTTCTAATGATTGAGGTAAAACTAGCAAAACGCTTCGTCTCGATCGATATACACTTTTTCTTATATTATCAAGGTCCCGTGTTGTGAGATTCACTTCTGCGAGAGCTTCTTTAAGCCCAGTATTGATGATCTCAGAAGGTCTTTGTGATATGTTTTCTACAGCCTTCCTTTCAATTCCGTTTTGTAATATCTGTGAAACAACATTAAAATATATACATTTCACTTGATTCCTTGGGATTTTCTCTTCTTCGTACTATTTCAATATATTTGAAGAGGGACGAATCAGATGATTTGCCTGAAAATGTCACTGCGTTTAACAAATTTTCTATCAATCTGAAAGAAAAATCCAGTAGCTTGTCAGTGACAATTTATTTGAAAAAATGTTTGAAGGAAAAAAATATTGAAAAAATATCGAATTTTCACTTATCTTTGGACGTTTCGGGACCGATTCTGCTACCAATCTCAACATGTGAATGCAAATTATGTTTCTTTGAAAGTTGTGCTGCGTATAATTCGACATTTTTCAGTTTCATACTGATGTTGTAGTTTAAAATCACTCATTCATATGCCAACATCTGTATGACACTGAAAAGTGTCAAACTATACGCAGCAAAACTTTCGAAGAAACATAATTTGCATTTACATATTGAGAACGGAAGCAGAATCGGTCCCGAAACGTCCAAAGATAAGTAAAAATTCGATATTTTTTCAATATATCTATATTTCTTTCCTTCAAACATTTTCTCAAACAAATTGTCACTGACAAGCTACTGGATTTTTCTTTTAGACTTCCTGATATACAAATTTTTTAAACGCGGTGAC